GTCCTGTATCCCTGTTCCTGAGGCCTCTGGCTAATGGTAATATGTATATTAACACATTAACAGCTAATAAAGCATATAGGCCAATATTCAGCAGATCAACCTCTTCCTCGAACATTGAATTTACATAAGAAGTGAAAACATTACCCATCAAGACCAATGATAAATATTCGGCCATATTTATCAGTAGCGTTAACTCCAGATGCAGTAACCAGTTTTGACCAGCAGGTGGTGCAGGTGCGCTTGTTTTGAGTAGGATCGGAAATTTCCTGAAAAATCCTTACAAGGCGTGTTAAGAACAGATGGGAAAAATCTTTGGACGGTACCTGGTGGAGACCAAGCTTTGCAAGTGTAGCTGGGCAGGGGTGTGGTTGGGCTGAAGCTGCGGGTAGCACAGCTATGGGCCTGGGTGCTGAGTGAGTGAGATTCAAAAAAGAAAGAAAGACCGTGATCACCAGTGACCAGTGTGTGACTAAGTACAGAAATACTGCTTGAAAACAAAGGCATTATATTAGATAAGGGTTTACCTACTTTCTCAGTAAGAGAGTTTTTTGGGAAAATAATTTCCTGGAGTTTGAGTTCTAGGAAAAATAAGAAAACAGCCAGGTGTGGTAGTATGTCCCTGTAATCCCAGGAATCAGGAGGCTGAGGAGGCTAAAGTGTTCCAGGTCAGCAATATGCACATACAAAGTAAGTAATTTTTAAAGCCTTAATCTACAATCCAAAATATCAATGTCGAGAACATGATGGAACTCTGAAGACATGCCTACATGGACTAAGTTTCCACTGAGCCCTGACCATGTGGAGCTGCCAGGAAGGTGCCAAAGGCTGGAGGTGTCACTCAGTTGGTACAGTGCTGGCCTAGGTTTTGTGAGGTCAAAAGTTGGATCCCTTGAGAGCAGGTGGTATTGGAGAAGAAATGAATGTAGAATTGAAGAAATAGAGACAAAATAATTAGGCATTTAAAGATGTGGATATGTGAATGGCATCTGAATCTGGGGCATTAATCTGCATGAGAAAAAGATGTTGGGAGAGAATAGAGAAGCATTTTGTAGGTCCTTGAGTATTTGAAGGCCCAAGATGGAGAACATGTCATACCTGGGGGGTCAGATAATGAAGCATCTCAGGAAGGAGGCCTAATTGCACATATCAAATCTACTGGGGACTGAAATGAAATGCTCTATTTAAGCACCAGGGAGACTATTGGTATCTGCTCAAGAAAACACAAGTAAGATAGAGGGACTGAAACACAGTGAGGGCTGAGGTTTTGATACAAAGAACAATCTTTGGGAAGTCTCCAGTGTGGATATTTGCAAAATGGAATGAAAACTCTGGGTTGCAAAAGTTTGGCGAATACCCCACTCCACAGGAAACAAAAGGGCAGAACTGTAAGAAAAGGTATACAGAAGAAGTATTCCCTGCCCAAAGAATGAGAAGTGAGAACATATCACATGATGCTTTTGCTGCTATCTATTGATTATTCTATAGAGAGTGTAGGGGGAATATTCTATGATGCAGTACTCTTGGCTGTCTTAAATGTATTATTTTTCACTCTTCTCTAAAAGAAACAAGAAAAGTCAGTGGGCTGGCAAGATGGTTCAGTGGGTAAATATGTGAGTTTGATCATCAGGATCTATGTAAGAGGAGAGAACCAACTCCCAAAAGTTGTTCTTTGACCTCTACACATCATGGCATGTGCTTGCATACGTACACAAATATATAAATAATAAAAGTCATCAAAACAATTTAGGGGGCCAGCAAGGAATGACACTTAACAGGAAAAGGCCCTTGCTACCAAGCCCAAAGACCTAAGTTAGATTCCCAGGACTCGTGTGGTAAGAGTGAACTGACTCCCACAAGCTTGTCACCTGAGACTTTCCTGTTTGCCTGTTGTCATGTTACATGTACACACCCACCCACCCGCTTCCTTCACATATGCATTAACAAAGTAACAAAGACAAACATAAAAGCAAAATCCACAGGCTCATGATTTTAGGAAGGATAAAAGTTAGTCAGTTTGGTCTTCTTTAGCCACTAGCCAACCCAAGCAACTGGCGCCCAAAGAACAAATTTCTGTATCTTCAGTGATGCCTGTACATCATTAAATTCATTAGACATTTGTTTCAGAGTATGAAACTTTACATCTCATAATTACGTGTGTGTTGGAAGATGTGCTTGTACTACTAGTCCTATCCCTTTGTCCCAGGGCCTTTGCACAATTGTACAGCACAATCCACTTGCTCAGTTTGTCAATGCATGAATCGTTTGCCACTACATGCTTAGTATATTTAACTCATTAAAGAAATGCAAGTGAAAATGTCAGCAAAACACCACCCCTTACCTGGTAGAATGGACACAAAGCTTGAAACTGTCATAAACAAGTCCTAGTGAGGATATGGACAAGTGGCACTTTTGTACTCCACTCAGGGTGATGCTGACTGTACTGATTCATGGAAATGTCACTTCAGAAAATGGTGTCAGTCTCTTTTCTTCACTTTGACATGTACTGGACATGAACTTATGTTACAACCCAGGATCTCACTCCTGTTATTTACCAAAGAGAAATGTTGATATATATCCTCCCAAACACCTGCATGTGAAAGTCCCTGGCTATTTTATTCCTAGTTACCCAAAATAGGAACTGATCTAAATGTTCTTCACCATATGAAGAGATGAACTATGCTGTATCTCAAAATGGAATGTTAATCAACAATCAATCATTGGTAGCCGACTCCCAATGTACAAACTCTATGGATGAATCTCAAGTGTGTTCTGTTAAGTAAAAGAAACTGGGCAGAAAGGCCAATTACTAGAATTGAATTGATAAGAGATACCAGAAGAGGCAGCATGTGGGGACATATTACAAAGCAGGGTGTAGAGGACTTAGAATGAAGAATGGGCTAATAATGAAAGGGCTGTTCTTCAGACTGTAGACCCGAGCCCTATCCTGGTTATGGAGGGATGAATGGTGACAGTTACATGACTATGTGCATTCCTTAGACCTAAAGAAGGTAAAACTTTCTTGTACGCAAATTCTATCCTCCATAAACCATCAAAACCAACAAAAATATCTCTCCACCTTGAGACACTCCAGATCTTGTCCTGTCATAGTGCCCATCCTACTTGAACTCTCCCTCATCTTCTTGCTTGCTTCATAAAATCCTTCACAGGATCACCCCAGGTATACATGATTTCTCTCTGGGCTTTCAGTTTGACGAATCAAATGTTGACCTTTCTTGACCTATTCTCTTTTTCTGTTCTATCAAATTCTCAACCATTTTTAATCTTAACTACTTTACTGAGAATTTATAAAATTTAAGCACTTGTAATGTGCAGTAAGACTGTCAATCTCTGATGATGAAATTAAGATCATGTTGACAGAGTTACTTCCATACTTTCTCCACAGATAGCAGAGAATGCCTTGCAGACGACTGTAGTATAATTGCTGGAGGGAACCTCACTGGCTGGCACCCAGACTCCGCTGCTGTGTTATGGAGAAGAGTCTTGGGAATCCTTGGGGATGTGAATAATATCCAGTCACCGAAGATCCATGCCAGGGTTTTTGGCTATCTCTATAAACTGTGGCACAAACTGGCCAAGGTGTGTTCTGCTGTTACCTTTTATACTAATCCAGAAAATTTAACATACATCATTGAACATACAAACTATTGACTGTATTCTGAAATGCAGATTATGTATTTAGATGAAGTATATTTGATTGCCCAAGAGTAAGTCATAAATTTCGTCTGTAGTTTTAATACTTTATTAAATGCCTAAGAGTTATTTCATTTAGTACAAAAGTATATTAGTCGAAGATATTAAGAATAGGCTATTATGTAGTTTCATTATTCATTTTAGTAAAGTGATACTATTTTGATTGTGCAAAGTTGGGAAAGTATAGAAAAGCATGAAGATATTTATATCCCCATTTTATAGAATAACCAATATTGATATCTAAAATATATCTATTTCCATGGATAAAGACATTTTACAAAATAAACTTTTAGAGTGGCTACAGTTTTCCTCCTGTCTTTTGTTTTGATACTAAATATACATTTTCCATCATTAAATATTTTTCCAAAAGATGACATGTTCATATAGCATAATTTATGAAATAATTTCTTACCATTTGGAGTTCAGGACCTCCTTAGGTATTCACATACTAGGAAAAGCAATACCATTTTTTGTGTGTGTTTAAAGCTACAACTACATGCAATAAGCCAGACATAGTCTAAAAGGACAAGAAATCTTAGAAGAAAAACCTGTAAATACTATAGTTTTCTCATTCCACATATAAAAAATAGAAGTGATTTCTTGGCTGTGCAAGACAATATTGCTACATAGTTGTAATAAGTAGAATGTTATCTTGTCTACAATTCTCTTTTGAATTAGATACGAGATAATCTAGCAGTAAGCCTGGACAACCAGTCATCTCCATCTCCTCCACTCTTGATCCCACCACTCAGAATGTTTGCATCATGGCTATTCAAGGCAAGTGTTTATTCTTTTATTGCAATTTCCTCTTCCCTTCTGAAATTGAGTTTAAAAACTGTAATTGCCCAAGACTGCATGTTTTGAAGACAGGCTGGATCTTACTACAGCCAGCACATCCCACATCTCCAAACAATTCTTCAGGAAAACTGAGAAGTAAATGAAATGTTGAAATGCTCTGCATCTGGACTTGATTTAATCTAGAAACATCATCTCCTTGGCAGGCTACAACTCTGCCAAATGAATATAAGGAAGGCAAACTGCAAGCCTACAAACTGATCTGTGCCATGATGACCAGACGTCAGGATGTTCTGCCAAACTCGGATTTCCTGGTGCATTTCTACCTTGTGATGCACCTGGGATTAACCAGCGAGGACCAGGTATCCTGTGACTCCTTTATCATGGTGTATCATAACAAGAAACTGTTTGCCACACTTTAGATGTATCAGGGCTTGTGAAAATATATCAGACCTGCTTAAATCCTCAGTGGCTTCTATTCTTCACACATAAGGTCTTTGAAAGTGTGATCAGGGCATTCCTGCTTCTTCCCCTCACTGACCGCATTCACCAACTAAGTCTGAATTTTATCCTGCAATCCGTATGATCCACTCTCTGCCTTTGTCATCATCTTCAAAGTATCATCTCGGCTATTTTTCCTCTGTGGTTCTGGCCGATTTAAAAGTATTTGGAGATATGTATTTCAGTAGTTGGATTCTTTTTGTGAGATACAATCTCCTATGAATTAAGGTTCTTTCCATTTCTTGATGTAAAGTTACTTTTATTTCTTTCGAAGAAATAGAAGTTTTTGTTTGGCAGGAACAAAAAGACCCAAGGCTACAAAGCTACAGTCCAATCTTTGTAGACCCTGGATTTAGGATTATTGGATGTGGCCAGTACCTGGTCTCCTAGCACTTGTGAGGGACAGGAGGAGGGATGCGAATAGGCATATGGTCTTTTGAAAACTGTTCTTATTATAATTGCTTGTTTCTTTTGTGTGTGTTGAGGTGTGGGGGTGTGGGCACCTGAGTGTCACAGCTCAAGTATGGAGGTCAGAAGACAATTTGCAACAGTCAGTTCTCCTGTCATGTGGGTCCTGGAGATTAAACTCAGATCATAAGATTTAGCGCCAAGCTTAACATTTATTTATTCGTTTTCCTTTAGAATGTACTTGAGTCTTCCCAGTGCTTGAGAAGTAGTCACCATATTCTCTGGTTCCCTGGTACAAACTTTGAGATGTACTCATTGAGCTTTGGTCTGATACTGTCCCGATGAGTTGTTGGAGTGTTTCCTCTGAGCAGCATTAGTAGACATTGATAATAGCAGCTGAGCTTGAACCCATGGCTTCATTCCTTTTTTAAAATAGATGTTTAAGTAGGGACATTAAGTACAGCCACTTGTATTCTTTGCTTAACTATTTCCAGCTGCCCCTGCAGGTGGAAGCCCCTCCTACAGAACAATGTAGTGCAGGGCATATGGAAGATTAAGGGGTGTAAACAGGAAAGAAAATCAACTTCAGGGATTGTAGTGTGCTCCCTCAGTGTAGGAAGGTTGGCTTTACTCTGTGTTAAAGTAGTGTTTTGATAAGATTTTTCAAAAAAAAAGTATGATTTGGAAATAATGATCAACTTTAGAGTTTTTTGATATAATAAAAACAAATCTGAAATCAGCATAAAGCAGTAGTTCTTAGAATGATTTTTTTAAGTTCCATAAGGAGGTGTGAGTTTAAAATCATGTTTCTGTTTGAAGGTGTGTTGGTGTGAAAATGAAACAAAAAATATGAAATAAGGATTATAGTATTTAAGAACTCTAAGTAGCATGAATATGTTTTTATGAATTGTTTTTAAAATATTTTACATTTAGGAAAAATGTTGACATTTAAAGACAATTAAAAATTGTCTTCACATTTTCAGTTAAATGAAGACAGATCTTTTGTAGATTTGTTATAAAATCATGTAAATCTTAAAAGACAGCCTAATGCCAGCAGCAATAGGATCATTGCAGACTTTAGGACAGAATGGGTATATCAAACATCTCTATCCTATAATCAGCCTATTGTGTAGACCAGTGGGAGCCTGGATTTTTATGTGGCTTTAATAGAATTAACTATTTTACTCTAACCTTAACAATTATTAGTATATATTTTAGAAGCCCTGACTGTCTGCCAAACAGAATTACCCTAAGTGAACTTCATTTTTTCGCCAGAAGAAACTTACAGAGTTCTAATGAAAGAAGCCTTTCTCATTTAAGTAAGAAATGTCTCTGGTTAATTAGTTTAACTTTTGGCCCACATGTCTAAATAGATCATGGTGGTTGTTTTAGAACTTATATGTACTTCTGGAAACACATGCTATATTCATTATAAAGAAGAAAAGAAAGCATTTGCTAAAGAGAATACAGTTAAATTCAATTTTTTAATTGGTAAGCCAAGCACCTGTGTCTGGTACCATGTCAAGGCTTTTTTCCCATTATGTGAGAGTCACAAAGAACTACACTTCCATGTAAAGGATTTTTTTCATGAAGAAGAGAAGTCTAAAGACTATCCTTTATTTGGAAAACAAGTAATAGCAAATATATGTATGTTTAAATTTAACCTTTACTAGTTTTGTTTTACAAATAAAACACAAGCTGTGTTTTCTCCTTTGGCCTCTGGGTGGCACCCTTGTCTGCTCAACCTAGCCATGTGGTTTAAAACTGCTGGATGAGGCAGAACCCTGTGATAAATGATAATGTGTACAACGTGGTGTTTTACAAAATATGCTCCTAAATCTGAGAGTGTTAAGATTATGTCATTAGTGCTCAATAAGATGCTGAGGTATGAACAAGCACTAAGAATTAACTATCCTTTCAAACATAATGATGCTTGAAGTAATTGAGACATTCGAAAGTGTAAAAATCATTCATAAAATACATACCTCATAAATAGCCTTCTGTTCTTGTGTACAAACATGTAAAAGCATGGCTTTATCTAATATGATACCAAATTTGTTATGTAAGTCAAACAGCCAGAATGTGAAATGTAGTACTTCTAAAACAACATTTGTAATATTGTTAGTAGCTGCCTTACTAATTTATTTAATATCCAACATAATGGCCTTATCAGATAGCCTTTCTCTCTCAGTATAGATGTAATGTTGGTTTGTAGTTGTCTGCATGATTCAAAAAAATCCATAAAATGGTGCCTTTTTTTCCATGATAAGGGTTTTTTTTTTCCCCAATTTTTTTTATTTATTTTTTTAAGACAAGGTCTCACTATGTAGTCTTGGCTATCCTAGAATTCACTATGCGGATCATGCTGGTCTCAAACTCATAGAGAACTGCCTGCCTTCCAAATGCTGGCATTAAAGGCATACACCACTATGCCTGGCCCTGTATTCTTTTAAAACAATATTAATCTTGTTACCAGTCCAAAAAATGATTAGGATCATAAGCACCTTCACATTAGTGACCAATGTGATTTGCAGGATTACTTAGCCTATGAAGGGTCTTCCTTTGGCCCTCTCTGCTCAGCTGCATATGCCTGATATATTGGTGTGGAGGTGAAGGATGTTTGTTCTCCTAGATCCACAATGCAAGACTCTGTACCAGGAACAGTTTGATGTCCCAATGATTCTTCCCCACTGTTCACTTGGATAATCATCATATCCTATTTAATGAGTAATGGAAGTTCAAAACATCTTGAGAATTTTTGCCAAATACCGTGTATTCAGAAGGTTGTTAGAATTCAAGGAAAGGCTTGAGTTACCCATTGGGCATGTCTTTTCCATTGATTGACAGCTAACATGTTGGTCAAATGTTCCCTTGTTTTATTTTGCCTGGCTATAGTTCTTTCCACTTCGTACTCATTAGCGTCCCCTCTAACTTGCAGATACCTTCCCAAGTAGTTGCCTTCCCAGCTCTCTGTCATTTTTTGGTTTCTCTTTTAAAGCTGTTCTTGGTTGTTCTTTGTTTGTCCTAATGTTTAAGCAGCTTTTTCACCTCAGTCTTCCCCAAAATATTTTGACATGAAAGGAGCTATGATTTGGATTTATTAAAAACATTTCCTATTAATTTCATGATTATTTAAAACATATGGAAAGATCAATATGTGTGAAATGGAAAAGGACAGACAGTTGAGGAAAGGAATTTTATTTTCATGTTTGTAAGAACATATATCAAAGACTGGAAAGTTTTCTTTTCTTAAAATAAGTAAACTATTTTTTAACAATGACTTACAGATTTACCGTCTTAATGTAATTTAATTTGTCTGTTATACATCAAAGTTAAGTTCTCTTTTAAATGCAAAGCTTACAGGAATACAAAGTTATTGTTGCAAATTTGCATATAGAAATTTCGGGAAATGTGGATCTTTGTCATTGTTGTCTATAATGTTATATTATCATATTTTCTAAGGCAGCAAGAACAAAAAAAAGTGCAAAGCTTTCCTCAGGTGAAGAAGGCTTTACAGTTCTGCTCTAGAATGACCATTGACATGTAGAATTTGCCTATATCAACGTAATGTTATGATATGCTAGAATATAATGTGAGGGCATATAACAGTAAAGAGCCTTCAGTGGAACTGAGTTCTATTCTTGGCCTTCATTTCTTAGCCAAGTCATTTGGGCTCATCATGTCCTGCTTCCATATGTGTTAGAAGTGCATAATTATACAGGATTACTTCTCTTGGTAAGCATGGACCCTTATGAAAATGAATGCCAAATACAATGAAGACAGTAGCTCCAAGAACCTCATATATTTCGTTTTTCCAATAACAGAAAGTGTTGCATTTGTTTTATTACCTATCTGTCATCTTACTTTTTAATACAGTGATTTGGCTGAAAAACATACTTGTATACACTGGAATTTTATAAGCGGGAAAATACTCCTTGTGTTGTGGGTCAGATATAAGTGGTGTTTATGATGCCCTATATACCCACGATCCAGAAATGTCTCTTGTGGTCCTATGATCATTGGCTCACTCTCTACTTGATTCTCACCTAACTTGATGAAGGAAGACTGAAGACTGAACTTTGCATGGGCCAAACTCCTTGTAACTGGGTTAGCATGGCATATGAAAGACATGGGGAGTAGTAGGATGACATCTTGAGGGAGTTGGGTCCTCCTGTCTGTGGAGGCTCTGTCTAGACACTAGCATTACTGCAGGCAGCCGATCTCTGCCAATGTCAGCCTCCTTAGGGTGTAGCTGGGTGTGTCTGCTTGCCACCCTTTCCTTGACTGTTGAGATTCATACTTGGTTCTTTAGCACTTGTGGAAATTCTGTAAGCTAGCTGACAACTGCTATCAATTCCTGTCCTCAAACTTCCTGAAAAGTGGGTTCTGTTGTCTGCAAGTAAGATCCTGGCATAAGCAGTGACTGCTCCAGGGTGCTGCTGAGCCCTGGAGA